GGGGAGGTGGTTGGCGACCCCTACGGGGTCGCGGGGGGAAAGCATCCCTGCCCTTCGGGCAGACGGGTAACCTAACTTACTATCCACCCTTAACTTAACCTAACCGGTCGCCAGATTCAACCGCCTGTTAAAGTATATAGTAGATATTCCACGCATACGTAATATCGCAAAGTTTGGAACAATAAAACTTCTCGTTGAAATRCATGTTTCAATTTTTCGAAAAAAGATCGCTTGCATGCTAAACTGCAATTATACCAAAAAAAAAAATTCATTTCGCATAACTGTTATAGCTAATGATTAGGTTACAATTGATAAAATGGAAAAAAGTGCAAAATTTTTTTCCCCGATGTACTGGTTYGAACTCGATTCAATCATCATAAGGAAGTCATCWTAATACYACTGGGTCACCATAGTTCATTGACCCTAGTTAATTTTATAAGTTATTTAAAACATAATATACTTAACTTTGAAATGTTATAACTTCGAAACTATGCCCAAGCCCCAAATTCTGACTTAAACTTAAACTTAACTACATAGGTTTCAAAAAAAAATATTGCAAAAAAAAGGTGTCCCATAAAGTAGAAATATACCACAGCACGAACTAAGTCACTAAGATATCTGAGTATCTTATTAGTTCGTGGTATACAGTATTACGGCATACATAATATTATATAATACAAATTAATTAACACAATATAATAAATAAAACATTTTACAAAATTGCCACATATATACACGATACCGCATAATTGTAAATGCAACGTTGCCATTCCGAAAATAAAATACAATATATTATTGTAACATAGGTAATATAAATTATAGTGGGTGCGTGTGAAAAATTCAGAAAAAAACACTATAATTTGTACTTAATAGYTTAAGTCAAGGTATATCATACATTAAATAATAAAGTAGTGTTTTTTGAGTAAAGTCACTATTTTTTTCTTTTTAGTGTATTTTGTGATAAGTTGACTTAAATCTTTTTGAAGTAAATACTAAATCTTATTTAGCTAGTCCCCTCAAACATACTAACTTGTCATTAGTGTAGAATATGTATATTCGATTTGTTCGGGACGTACGGCGATTTTATTTAAATTAAATGTATCTAACGCACGACAATTAGAACTTTAAATTWAAAAAAAAAAACTTGCACTAATAATGTTTATTACAACCAAATAAAATATATTTGTGATTTAATAAATTTTATTATTGATATAATTTAATACCGTAATCACGTATGATTGGATATATATTTAACCTTGATATTATTTTGGTCTTATTTTATGCACTTGGTATTGGCGGCAGACAGTGAATCGGTCACAGCTGTCATCAGACTAAAAACTGGCCTTTTGACCGATTAAGCCAATAGCCCATTTTTATGGGCACTCCCGAATTGCCTCCCATCTGACCCTCGAATTGCCTCTCATGAATTTTTTTTTTTAAAAGGTTACCCGAATTGCCTCCCGATTTCAAAAATATTATTCACTCGAATTGCCTCCTAAGAGGGTCACTACCTACTCTTGTACTGTAATCGCCTGCGATCAGTGGAGCAACCGGGGAGGGTGGGTCCCGGGTCCGGACCCCCCCCTTGAACCGTGCCGTATAAAACAATAAAAATGTTTGATAAAAATGAATAATTGATTCGATTCAGTACTGAGCTTCTGTGATATTATGATAATAAAACGCATGATAGGTAGTTGATAAGAAAAATGAACGTGCAAGCTCGGATCGAGAATTCACCGTTGCAGCAAGTATGAGTGGAAAATTAAATGGTGCGCAGCTTTAATTAGAAAAGAATATCTGAGTGCATTGTACATACATTGTAGTGCCCATAATCTCAATCTGTCCGTATCATATGCTTGCAATATTCAAGGAATAAGAAACACTATGGGTACTGTAGAAGCGTGCTATAACTTTTTAAATACTCCAAAACTACAACATTTTTTAAATTTACATCTGGTTGAGTTGAAAAAAAAGAATCTGCTTCTAAAAAGGAAAAACTTAAAAGACTTTGCCCAACTAGGTGGTTTGAACGTTATAATTCAATAGAAACGTTTAATGAATTTTTTCCTGCAATTATTTATTGTTTGGAAGAAATGATTATGTGGAAAGATATTGATACATCGAGTAAAGCTTATCAACTGCTTTTGGCATTGCAATCTTTTGAATTTAATGTAGCCCTTGGTATTCTCAATTACATTTTTCAATATACAGTCTCTTTGTAAAATTTTACTTCTTCTAGATACAGAAATGGAAGGCCAAATATGTATGTAAGATATTTTCTAATTTCTCTCTCATTTGAATATTCAGTAGCTAAACCAATTTGTTGTATTTTACGCCACCAAGATTGACATAAATGAAATATACAACCCTTAACTTCAATTTGTGGCCAAACTTCACGTATTGCATTAYGTATGGATTTTTCAAAATCAGCAGAACACAATTTTGGTTCAAATATTTCCACGGACTTCAAACATGAAAGCTCGTTTATATTATGATGCTTGACTTTTATTCCTTAGCAAAAAAAAATGCTAAGGGTATATAATTATTATTATGAAATCCGTGTATTGTAAGCAATTGGATAAAATATCGTACACAATAGTCAAAAGTTCCATCTACATATATTGTTGTTAGCGTACTTAAAAAAATTGATATTTTCGTCACACGAAAACATCACCAAAACATTTAATGTGTCATTTACCATTAAAAAGTTCTCATTTATAAATTCTTTAACTTAAATGGACGATAAAATTGTATGGACTTCATTTACATCTTGAGGCAATTTTGGATAAATGRAATTCCTAGCATGGTTCATATTATTTTTTATGTAAGTTACGTCCGAGATTGTTAATGTAGGTACTTACATTGCAATTTTTCAAAGTCGTGAGATAATTTTGCTGGTCGTTCAGAGATCTGTTYTAAAGCTTTACGTTTTAAATTATTGCTGAGTATCTGTCTGTTGATTTTTTGCTCCGAGTCTTTCGCACAATTTTGATTAAGTTTACTATTTTCGAACTGGATTTTATTGCGTTGATCGGTTTTCAAATAAGCTGTACATATTTTTTTCGTACATGTCCATCGTTTTATGTCATTAGCTAACTCTTTTTGGTAACCAAACTTAAAACCATCACATATTATAATGGTTTTACCCTTTTCGTTGATCACGCTGATCACGTTCATTTTTATAAAAATATATTTACGTATGTATACTATATAATAACGTGTTATTTATCGGTTGCGCAAACGAAACTGACTGTGTTGAACTGGCTGGATGATAGACTAATCATTAATTGATAATCGCAGATAAGATTATTGCATTCGAAAAATTAATAGGTCTGGAAAATATTGTATGTCTTAAACATTTTATTTTTGAACATTACGTAATAATGTAATAATCGATAGTACACGTACAACTATCGATATAATTAATAATCCAGGTAAGTTATGGGAGGCAATTCGAGTAAAAAAAAGCGGGTAAGTGGATGTCGCTCTGCTGTACATTAGGTGGTGGGGTGGACCTCTGACTAAGGTAGGTTAGATTTGAATGCAATGATAGGTATCATTGTATACGAAAAACGATTCTGAACGGAGATGATTTGTCAGTCTAGGATATATTGTATTTAAATATTGTMATATATTCTATTTTGAAACAAATTTATTATTTTTCAATTAGGACGCCTTTTGAATAAGGCAATGTTATGGTTCGGAGCATCGGTTTATGATGGTTCGGAGTCTCGGCGGATCGACCGTTCCAGGCGCGCTTATCGCGCTTATGTCGGTGTCGTCCGTCGTCGATTGGCGGTTGAAAAGAGAAGTAATTGCGCGGTTTGCCGCGCAAAGGCCGTTTGAATTCAAACGGCTATTACGCGGGCCCGCGTCAGGTTAATCAATTTTCCCAAAAACATTGCATGTAGTTATCATAATTCATAATACCT